TCAATTAATTCAAAACATATGTTGAGCACTGACCTAGGGGCTAGCGATAGATCTGTGATGAAACAGGAAAAAAAAATTGTCTCTAGGAGTTTATATCTTAAAACCTTTAAAAACAATTTTTTATTTATTATAGAGTTGTGGGATACAAGTGAGGATTCACTACATAAGCAGTCTGCATTCAGGAGAAGTTTGAGTTCTAGGTGACCCTCACTCCCCTGTTAGTGGACCAGGTACTCCTTGTGTTGTCATGTGCTCCTCACCCTCTTCCCTCCCTCCCTCTCTTTCCTAGCAGTGTTTGGTGACTAATGATCCTACCCTTGTGCTAATGTGACTAGTGTTCAGGGCTCACTTATGAGTGAGAACATGAGGTATTCAGTTCTTTGTTTCTGAGATAGTTAACTTAGTATGATGGTCTCCAACTCCATCCAAGTTGCTGCAATGGCCATTATTTTGTTCTTCTTAATGGCTGTGTAATACTCCATCATGTATATGTACCACATTTTCTTTACCCAGTCCAGCAATCCCTCTCCTGGGAATATACCAGGAGGAACATCAATTGCTTTACCAAAAAGACACCTGCACGTGCATGTTTATTGCCACATCATTCACGATAGCCAAAACATGGAACAAACTCTACGCTCCCAAATCTTTATTTTTCATTGATATTTATTTCATTAGAATATATTCTTAGAAATGGTATTTCTGAGACACAGAATATAAGTGTTTGTCTTTTTCTGTATTTTTTCTCTCTAAAAGGCAAATCAAATCATGTTGTTATGCCAGTGTGTAAAATGCTTTTTTTAAACCACATATTTGTACATATATTAGCACATGAACATAATTGATGCATAAAGTGTGCATTCATGTACATGGAGATGCTTACTTAATTCTAACAAATCATAACATTTTGTCACCTTGTCTCAGCTTTTATCCAAATAGATTTGAAGAGTATGTGGAACCTGTCTCAATTCGTTTTATTTCCTCTCCTCCTAGAACTAACTGCTTTTTAGAGTTTGCAGTTTATCATTCTGAACATATTTTGGAAAATATATATACTTTTCAAAAAAATGCATATATCCATAAAAACAGAGAGTGTGCCAATCCATGCTTAAAATAGTCTATACAATTTACGCCATAAGTATACACTTGCAACTTGCTTTGAGTTGATATAGTATATTTAGAACTTGTTCATATTGTGTCATCTTGCTACGGTTTAAGGTGTTTAATAATATATACTATTTTATGACTGTAATACAATTTATTTATCTATTCTCCTATTGACAGACAAGTAGTTTGTTTTCAATTTTCAGTTTTCGAAACCATGCAGCAGCGAACATTCTCGTATAGGTCTCCTTGTACAAGAGATATGAACGTTTCTAAAACAAGAGTTATAGTGTAGCAGCTACATCATAGAATGGGTACATCTTTCATCTCTGATATATACCCTCAATAGATCTCCATAAACTGCACTAATACACTGACCACCAGATAATAAGACATTGTTTTACATCCTCACCTACATTTGGTATCATCAGACTTTTTCCTTTTTTTTCTAACTTATGGTAGCTTTAGATCATTTGTTTCATATTTTCCTATTTTTTATTAAAACATGTTTTAATAAGTTTATTGCAACTTGTTTTGGGTTCTTAGTGGAGAATATTAGTTCTTGTCTTCTGTGTTCTTCCTGTTCATATCTTTGCTGAATTTATTATTGGATTCTCTTTTTCTTCCCGATTTTTACGGGTTCTTTCATATTCTGAACATTGAACCTCAGTTGCATACATATGTATATATACTTATATACACACACATATATATGACAGATATCTCCTACTCTGTGATTTGTATGACCTCTTTGTTATTGGAAACTTCTGTTTGACTGTATTTAAGTATCCCTCTCTCTGAGTCTGTCTGTTTGTCTGTCTATCTCTATCTATTCTATTGCCTATCTACCTACTACCTATTTATTTTCTTATGTTTTCTTTTAAACCTTTTAAAGTTTTCCCTTTAGAATTTATGTTTTTACTGTAATTGAATGTATTCTTATGTGTACTGTAAGGTAGGTAGCAAACTTTATTTTCCATATGGATAACAGACTTACCTAGCATCATTTGTTGAATAATCCAACCATTTCTAAACCTGTTTAATGTTGCTTCTTTCAAGTAACTTTATATCTGTGGGTCTGTGTCTGGACTTTCTGCTCTTTTCTGCAAATGTGTTTGTTCTCTGGACAAATATTATACTATTCAAATTGTTAAAGTGTTATGAAATTACAGATTTGTAAGGAGGTGCCTCTCCCTCACCACTTACTTCCAATTTATCTTGACTATTCTTGTGTCTGTGTGCCACTATATGAATTTTAGAATCACCTATCAAGCTTTACAACTTAATTTTGGTTAGAGATGAATTAACTCATAGATTTATATATATGTATACATGTATGCATACATATATATGTATAAATCTTCTAATTTATTAAGAAGATATTTTTCTCCACATGTCTTTATATTTTTATTTTAATACCGTTGCCACATGTCTTGAACATCCTTTGTTGAGTTTATTCTAAGGTACTTTATAGTTTTGTTTCAGTTTCTGCTCGTTTTATATGGGTTTCTTAGTAGTAAAATTAATTGCCCTGATCCCATCAAGCTTAAAGAAATATGGAAGGCAAAGGACAACTAGATTCCATGAGACCAGAAACTAAGAAAACAGGAAACAGAATATGACTCTTGAGAAGATCCAGTAGATCATAGTGGTATCTGACTCTTCTAACCCATCAGGTATTTGTTTGTGGCACTTGGGTCTTCCTTTGTTTACTGAGCAAGGCCATGTGTTGACACAGAACTAAGAGAGCCCCTGAACTGTAGGATATGGCTACCTTTATTCTTCCTCTTATACCACTACATATGCATATTCTGAATATATAGGCCAGTTTCTATTCTGGATAACCACCAACACTTTCTGCTACAACCATCCCTCCTCTCATTCCACTAGGCATACAGGAAAAAAATTTCAAAAATTTGAGTCAGAGTCTAGTCAAATAAACATCAACTATCTGTGTACCATCCTAAGGGAATTCTCTCAGCTTATGCAATGGCTAAAATAAGAAATGAAAAAGGGAGTGGGGACTAGCGTAAAAGAGGGCAGAAGTTGGAGCACAGTGTCTTGTCTGAAAAACCTGTCTTATACAGAGGCAGGGATATAACTATCCAGGGCCCAGAAACCTCTATACTGCTAAGTTCATGATAAGAAAGAGAGAGTTGAGTTGATTAAACAACGCAGCAGGCTTTCTGTGGACCCTGATCAGGCAGGAAGAGTAGTGGTTTATATGCAAGGTTTTCTATGGCTCGGAACTATGAAGAGAGACTTCCAGGAAGTACCTCTTGATCATGGTAATTTTAACCTGTGGTAGAGTGGATGGGAGAAACCACAGGACCTGAGCGAAGTAGAACTAGGAAAATGGTGGGGATACCACTTTGATGGATATCCTGGAAAAGGGTTCTGGGCTTCCTGAATGTGAACTGAGGGAGCTTCCCTAGACAAGAAGAAAAATTTTCTTTCTCAATTCTGGATCCCAGTTTATGCATTTATGTACTTATAAATTCATTTAATATTTATTTACTGTCACTATGTGTATGTATATTTCTCTGAGGAGTTTAATTTAGTCATCTATTCTACATTAGAAACATACACATATCAGTAACAGTATCTACCCTATGACAAATGTTACACAGGAAGTGCATCATGAAAGCTAACAGATGTAGCATCTGGTGCTTAGCTATAGGAAAGGGAGCCTGTCAGTAAAAATGCCCTTGAGGAAAGCAATGTCAAATCTGAGACTCCAACATAAATTGCATTTAGTCAGTGGTAGGGTCAGGCTGCTCTACCAATTTCAAGTCCATATCCTCTTGAGCAATGTGACTGTGTCTTAGACATGTTTGTAGTAATTTTTTTGGTTGAAGCTTTGTCATATTACATGTTATTGTGCAAGATCACACAACTAAAGCACCTAGAAGTAAATGCTAGTGTCAGACTTGAGGTTGTAGGACACAGGGTCCATAAGAAAGGTAAAATCAGAGATGAGAAGAGTTAGGGATAGGGTCAAGGGTTTCTGTTAGAGGGATAGGATCAGAAGAGAGCACAACTTCAGGAATAATTGAGGAATTTTTGCCTGAACCAGGTATTAGGGAAAAGTGTAGGAGTTTTGATGTTTCTGAGTAACTCAGGGTACTGCTTAACCTGAAAAGAAAAAGATGAGAAGGACCTTGGCCAAGCAGACAAGATGAAAGCTATCCCAAGGAGCCATAGAAGGGAATATATTTCCTGAGGTAAGATAGAGCAAGTGACATTTATCTGGACTCTTCTAGGTTCTGTTCTGGGTGCTTTGTTATTTTATTTTATTTTATTTTAAATTTAGTTTGATTTTACTTTTAGTGAGTTTTTTTGTTTTTGTTTTGTTTTCTTTTTTGAGTTGGAGTCTTACTCTGTTGCCCAGGCTGGAGTGCTGTGGCATGATCCCGGCCACCGTAGCCTTGACCTGCTGGCTCCGGCTATCCTTCCGTCTCAGCCTTCCAAGTAGCCAGAACTATAGATGTGTGCTACCACATCCAGCTAATTTTTGATTTATTGTAGAGACAAGGTCTCTCCAAGTTGCCTGGGCAGGTCTCGAACCTGCGGGCTCAGGCGGGTCTTACCTCGGTCTCCCAAAGTGCTGGGATTACAGGCTGAGCCACTGAGCCTGACCTACTTTTAGTGTTTATAAATTCATGATGACCCTCAACAAACTCTTATTATTGACAATTTTGATGCTACCAAATTGCCAGTTCTCAGATGTAGGAGGAGGGATTATAATTTAAATAAGAGAAGACCAATCTTTCTAAGCCACAATATAATAAACATTTACTCATACTTTTGTTAGGACAGAAGAAAAAAAAGATCTTTGGGGCATGAGGTGCTATAATAGGTACTCAATGCCAATTTCCAGGAAAATTACAGGTCTTCTTATAGGTATTCCATGGCAGTTTTAGTTCCAGGACTCAGGATTGGCTCGTCTAAGGCCTAGGAGCTTGATGATAGCATGGCGGATCTCCTTAGTCTTAATACTGTAAATGATTGGGTTAAGCATGGGAGGCACAAAAAGGTAGATATTGGCCATAAGGAGGTGAACAGCAGGTGGGGCATGCTTCCCAAACCTGTGCACCAGGGACAGCCCCATCATGGGCACAAAGAATATTAACACAGCACAGAGATGAGACGTGCACGTTTGGAAGGCTCGGAGCTGCTCGTCTTGTGAGGCCAGGCCTGTCACTGTGTGCAGGATTAGTCCGTAGGACAGTGCGATGAGCACTAGATCCAGCATCACAGTAAAAACAACCAGTGTCAGCCCATACAAGTTGTTGAAAGTGGTGTCTGTGCAAGCCAGATGTATCACTTCCTGGTGTAAGCAAAATGAGTGGGAGAGGACTAGAGGCCCACAGTAGGGAAATGCCTTCAGGAGAAAGATAATAGGGACAAGAGCCACAGGTCCCCGGAGGATGACAATCAGACCTGCTCTGAATACTCGCCAGTCAGTGATAATGACTGAGTACCTCAGGGGGTGGCAGATAGCCACAAAGCGGTCAAAGGACATGATGAGTAGCACTGAGGACTCCATGAAGGAAAATGAGTGGATGCAGAACATCTGGATTTGGCAGGCTCCAAAGTAGATACTACGGGAATTGAACCAAAAGATCCCCATGGTGGTAGGCAAGGTGGACACTGACAGTCCCAGGTCGGTGAGGGCCAGCAAGGATAGTAGATAGTACATGGATGTGTGCAGACGAGGGTTGGTCTTAATAATTATCAGAATGAAACAATTGCCTGAGATGGCCACCAGGTACATAAAGAAAAAAGGGATGAAAATCCAGTGTTCGATGGCTTCCAATCCAGGAAAGCTTGTGAGGTAGAACTTGGGGCTAAACTGAGTCATGTTGGACAGCAGCATGAATTGAGGACTGAGCGAATATTGAGTTGACATTCCTCAGCGACTGAGCTGAAAATAAATGGATATTCCTGGTTAAGAAGTATTTGGCTTGTCTATCATTCACAACACCATAAGTAGCATCGTGATTGTCAACATCTTCAGCATTATCTACTCCACTATTTTAATTCCACCACTCTCCACCTTATTGAATCTTTCTTTGATAACATCATCCTCTCCAGAGTTCCCTCTGTATTTCTATTAGTTTTATTTCTTCTCAGTCCTCTTTGCTGGTGCATCTTCATTACTCATCCCTTAAATGTGGTTATGCCCATCTTTGGCAGCAATTATCTGACCACACACAATTTTCTGGCCATATTTCTACTCAGGCAATGACATCTACGCCCATGATTTTATTTGCTATCCAGATATTGATACATAGCAAATCTATAATTCCAGAACTTCTCCTCTTTCAATTTCCAGACTCATATATCTAGCAGTATATTGAGCATCTATCCCTTGATGTCTTATAGTTACCTCAAAAGCACGTTAAAAATCTCATCATCATTTCTCCAACAACCTTCTTGTTTATTTATGTTCATTATCTCAATGACCCAAGTCAAACATTAAGTTCTCTGTTTAGACTGGTCCACATCACGTCTTGTCCCAGTAGCTAAAGCAATCAGTTACCAAGTTCTGGGATTTCTATTTGTGGAATACCTCAGATTTGTTTACTCACCATCACCTTCATTGATGCTGTTCTAATTCAGATCACTATTATCTCTTTCTGGATCATTTGAATAAACTCTCATTTGCATTAAATTCCCTGACTACTTTATAGCAAGAGAGATATTTATAAAAACAAAATTGACTTAAAGTACAAAAAGTTTAAAATAATGTTTGAGGCCCTGTCCTATTATTCTTTCTGCTTTATCCTCCATTTTAATCTATTCTGGTTTCTCTTCTGTATTCATAGCATTAGTGACACTAAACAATTCTTCCAGTTTCTCAGTGTCCTTGCTCATAATTAAGCATTTTTGTTTTCATTTTTTCTGGATCAAAAACAATTCTTCCTGGAATAGCCTTCCCTTATTTATTTATTTTTCTTTCTTTCTAGTTAACTCCTATTCATACAACCTGCCTATAGGCATGATATTGTTCAGAAAGTTATCTTAAGTTCTTCAAATTTGTTTCTAATACCCTTCCTTTGTGTTCCTATAGCTATAATTTTACTGTCATGGTACTTTTTAAGCAATATCGGTTTGCATTTTCTGTATTGTCTTTAAAATGTGAGCAAAAATTTAACATTTTCTCTAAAATTAAAATTCTAGCAAGGAGTTAACATTTTAGACCATGTTAGTCTTTTTTTAAATTGTAATTTTAGGTTTAGAAATTGGCTTCTTGAGCCATCACATCACTGGAACCCTTTAAATATTATTCAAGTAAATTAATATATATTTAGTTTTACCACTAAACTTATTTTAATAATTATTTATTGATTCAGCAAACATTTATTGAACTTGCATTATATGGCAAGCATGATTCTAGGTACAGGCAATATAATGGATAACAGAAACAGAATAGAGTCAAAAATAATGTAGTGCTATAAAGATATGGGCTGAGTGCAGTGGCTCATGGCTATAATCCCAGTACTTTGAAAGGCCGAGATGAGAGGAGTGCCTGAGCCCACAGGTTTCAGACCAGCCTGGGCAACTTGGTGGGACCTCATCTCTACAATAAAAATAAAAAAATTAGCCAGGTGGGTGACACACACATAGTTCCAGTTACTTGGGAGACTGAGGCAAAAGGATCACCTGAGCCCAGCAAGTCAAGGCTGTGGTGGCCTTGTGCGTGCCACTGCACTCCAGCCTGGGCACAGAGTGAGATTCCAACTCAAAACCCCCCCCCAAAAAACAGATATATGGAGCAAGTGAAGAAGGAAGGTAAGAGTGATGCATTTTAGATAGGGAGTCAGAGAGGACCTCTCTGAGGAAGTAACTTTAGAGAACAATCTGAATGAAATCAGAGGGCAAGTATCTTAATACCTTGGAGAATATTCCAGGCAGAAGGAAGTGCAAGTAAAAATTCCTGAAATGGAGAGAAGCTTGACAAGCTAAAAGACAAAAGGAAGTCAGTGTATACACAACAAAGGAAGCAAGGTGGGGAGCGGTGGAAAACGCACTCTGAAGCAGCGAATGCTAGATCATGTATGATCTTGTAGGTCCTGTAACCTACTTTGAGTTTTATTATACTTGCAAGTTTGAAGTGAGCGCTGAGGTGTATCATGGATAAAAGATTTTGGAGGTCCTAGGGTAGAACCAGGGAAACAAGTTATCATACAGGGTCTTTGTAGTCACACAGGGAGAGATGATATCTTCAGCAATCAGACTTGGTGGTAGAAGGTATGATAAGTAGTTGAATTGGTTGGATTGAGCTTGGATGTTGAGACAAATAAAGCAGTCAAGGAAATATTCAAGTTTTAGTGCCTGTGCAATAAGCCAGTGGCATGAACAAAACATCATAGGGAATAAATTTGAGAAAAATAAGAGTTCTGTTTTGGATATATTAAAATAGATGCCTGTTAAACTTATAATGTAAGTTGTTAGTAATGTAGTAAAAATGTGGACTTCTGATATAAGTTGAGAAAAAGATACACATTTGGATAACAATATCTAAGAAGCAAGTGTAGAAGAAAAGTTTCCAGTATCGATCTCTGGACAAATCCGATATTTAGAGATCAAAAAGAAGATCCAGCAAAAGAAACTGATATGAAAAAAAAAATCAATTAAATAGGGAGGAAATCAGGAGAGTGTGGTCTTACATGGGTTTCAAAAGGGATTGCTTAATATGTGTAATGTTGCTGGGAAGTTAATATAATAAGAGCTGAGAAATGATCAAAGGCTTATTAGTGTCGAAGTCATTGGTAATCTTGAAAGGAGCAATTTCAGTGGAGCATTCAGCAATACAATTTGATTCTAGTGTATTCAAGGCAGAAAGGGGGAGAGTGAGAAAACAGATGAACTGGGGCAATGTAGTAGAATGTCCCACTTGAGGTTCAGAATTTCAGAGTGTAATCGGTCAGTCTTCAGGTGTTCAAGTCTTTAGGTGTTCACTACATTTAACCGTTCAAGTGCAGGAGACAATCATTTGGGAGTTTTAATTTAACCAGGCTGAAGTTAGCATAGGCTAGCATGACTAAAATTCAGAGTGTATGCAAAGTCTATAAGGATGTACAACGGAAATTAAAAGAAAAGTTAAAACACGAGAAGGTGAGGGAAGGTAAAGAGGAGGGATCAGAGTTCCAGCTTATGGGATGGAACTGAGCTACTAATTTAAGATAAATGAAGCAATCCTTGATAAGAGGCAGTCAAGGAACTGAAAGTGTGACTGCTGATTGGATCAACAGAGGAAGCGCTAACATCACTAAAATTATGTCTGGATCAGTAGTGAAAAGAATAAAGTGAATCAGTGGTAAAATCTTCAGTGAATAAAGTGATGTGAGAAAAGGTGGTTGGTGTAGACAACAAGAGGGATAGTGGTGATTATGCATGCTATCACACACTGAAAATAATTTTGAAGGAGGTGGCAAGAAGGAATAATATCCAGAAAAAACAGGGTCAGCCTGCATCACTTTGGCAAGGAGGTAAAAACAAAATCTATATTTATCCTCTCCATGTTTCACTACTTAACAACCCCTCGCCCCACCCCTTTTTCTTTTAAATCTACTTAGCTAAAGCAATGCTACTTAAATTCACCAGTGACTTCTAGGGGCCAATTTCAATGGAGAGTCTTAACCATACCTGTTTTTGTTTTTGTGTTTTTTGCAATTGCTGTACCTTATTACCATGCCTTCCTTTTTTTTTTCCCAAGTCAAAGTGTATCCATCTTTATTAAAGATACTTTTCATAAACAATCATGGTATTTCAGGCAGGATATGGGCAGACAATCTTTAACAGTATACAACAACTTTCAAACTCCCTTCTTTAATGAACTACCAAAATCAGAAAGCCACTATAAAAACCCAGTGAAGTCTTCATTTGATGCTCTGAACAGGGAAAGTTTAGAGTGAGGGTTGACATTTCACATTTAGCATATTGTTTGACAACTTTTCACAAGCCAACCCTGACTTTCAGGAAATGAAATGAAAGTGGCAGAATTTGTCTGAAGATCCATAAATCTATAAACGAAACTGCAGGTCTTATGAGGGGTGCCATCTCAGTGGCATTCACTGACATACTGGTAACCAATTATTGGGGGTCAGGTCCCTACAGATGTCTGAGTTTAAGGGAGTTAAGTCTATGCTGAAGGCAGAAAAGGAGAAGAAGACATAAAAAATGAATGCTTAGCTGGGCTCGGTGGCTCAGCCTGTAATTCCGCGCCTTTGGGAGGCTGAGGTGAATGGATTGCCTGAGCCCGCAGGTTCGAGACCCGCCTGGGCAGCGAGACCTCATCTCTACAATAAATCAAAAAATCAGCCGGGCGTGGTAGCGCATGCCTGTAATTCCGGCTACTTGGAAGGCTGAGGCGGAAGGATCGCCGGAGCCCAGCAGGTCGAGGTTGTGGTGGCCGGAAGCGGCCACTACACTCCAGTTTGGGTGACAGTGTGAGACTCCAACTCAAAAAAAAAAAAAAAAATGAATGCTTTTCCACACCACAAGGCGTTTGTACCAAGGTGGCTATGTGTGTCAACGTCAGGGAATCCCTCCTCCTGGAAGCCGAGAGGAAGTCTCTTAAAACTAGAAGGGAAAGGTGTTTTCCCCACATCAATCCAGCTTTGGAGACATTCTATTAGTGACACATGCCCCTTTCCCAAAAAACAACCATGAAGTGTTCTGTGTGCTAACAACATAGTTTTAAAAAAAATCTGCATTTTTATAAAACTTGATAACAAATAGTATTTCAAACTGTTCAGTCACCATAAGTACACCGTTATTAAAAATGCACACACTTCACTTGGCATCTCCAGCACCTTCAGCTTTCTGTGGCTGGTCTGTTTCGGCATCTCCATTTTCTGCAGGGTTATTCCCCTCCTTGCCAGCATCGGTTTTCCTTTTTTCCCTCTGGGTACCTTCT